CCGGCCAATCGTCGTTGCCGTAACATACCTCGTCGCGATAGTCGCGTGCCGCCACCAACACCCGCCGGCTGTCACGTGAATCTCATGCCCGAAAACAAAACAAACAGCTGGCCGCTCAGCGTCGCCGCTGTCGTCGTCGTCGTTCTCGTCCTCGTCCTCCTCCAAAGCAGTCCTCCAGCGGGCCGAGCGCCGAGCGAGTGCAGCTGAACGAACCCGAGCGAGACCGAAGAGTGACCGAACGCGCCCCACTCCGTTCAACTCCATTCCGCGTTGCTCCATTCTTTCAGCGAATTTCAGCGCGCTCAAAATTGAGAGAATATTGAAATATAAATAAATACGTGGAAAAATTAGAAGAAAACATTGTCCATGTCTATCAATGTAGAGGTGCATTTTATTTTGCGCATCATACATTATTTATGCCAGTAATTAAGAATGGATTAAAATGGATTGAAATTTTTATGCGTATATTTTAAGCCCGTTGAATCTAATTGAATAAAATAAAAACTTTTTTTAAGTATTCTCTTTTTATATTTTTCTCTTTTTTTTCTTTTTTTCCTCTTTTTATATTCTTTTTTTTATGTTTTTTTTAATTCTCACACGTTATATTGGTCCATTCGATCCAATTGGAAAAGAACTTTTTGTTTTTATTCAATTGGATTCGATTGAATTCAACTGGATTCAAAAACTTTGGAAAACTTGTACATCTTTTATCAGAATTTTGAATTAAACAGTATACACGTGTTTGCACGAAAAAAGTTAATATTATTTTTATATTGAAAGACATAAAAATGTGCTTCATACAATGACTGTAAATGTATAAAAATACATTGGAATTGAAAAGGATTTATTTTAACATTCAGAGAAATGTGTATTTCTGAAAATCTGAATTCACATTTCAATCCATTCTCGTTCACTGCAAGTTCTATATACCAATAAATTTTAATTCTTAGAATTAGAAAAAGATAAAGAGTTAATTGAACTGAGATTAAAATTAAATTACATTTGTAGAAACGGATATTAGGTCCAGTTTCACCAGTGTAAAGTGACTTAACTTTAATCTCGATTTAACTTACTACTATTTACCCTTTTCTAATTCTTATAATTAAAGGAAGATAAAGACTAAATTGAACCGAGATTAAAGTTAATCTTACATTGGTGGAACTGGGTCTTATATCCTTCTTGTTTGCTGAATATTAAATAATAATAAGTGATACATTATACATATTGTACGTTAAACACAATGCATCTTGGATTAATTTTAATTTTGGTTTAATTTATTCTTCATCCTTTTTAGTTTTTAGAATTACAGTTAGAGGAAGATAAAAGTAGCTACGTTTAACCAAGATTAAAATAATTACTCCACGTTGGTATAATAGAAATGAGCATAAAAGATAAATAAGACGATAATGCTAGGATTCGAGAAAATATTTCGAAACGTAAAATGAAAAGACTTTACAGTTTTAATCACAAATGTAACAATTTTATTTATTAAAGCTAAATATAAAATTGAGTTTTTTTTCCCATAAAATCATTTCACATTCGAGATACCGGCTTGATGCCCAAAATGTCCAGGGCATTTTCAAAGACGACGTGCAATGCACGCAACATATACAATCTGGCAACCATCTTGGGAATCAAATGATTACCTCCTTCCTGAAATTTATAAAATAATAATTCAATGTGTAAAATCGTGTAAAGTATAAAAGATTTACAAGCATAGTTTTGTCTTACCGTTAAAATTCTCACTTTTCGATAGTAGACACTGAATTTTTGACATAATCGTGATAAGAACAGACATATGACTTGGGGATAAACATGAAAACTTGGCTCGCACTTCAGACAATCATTTATCATTTGCGGATATCCCAAGATAAAATTGTATATCAGTTCCCATTCTTCCTATAGACAAATCAATTTTTCTTTGAAAAAATGTCAAAATTTGGATGATTGGTGAATTTCATAAATTTTTTAATGTATAAATATGTTGAATTAAGATTACAGGAATGCGCAGTTTTCTATTAAAAAAAAAAAAAAAAAAAAAAAAAAAGGAAAATATAAAATAATAACGTGTAAAAAATTCAAAGAATTATACTTACTTCTTCTTGCAATTGTGAGAAATCTACATTTTTTATATCTGGCAAACTAGGATAATCTCCACACGATACCTTCTCATTGTGTTTTGTTATAATTGTAGCTATCCTGGCAGCGTTATACAATGCAAATGACGCACCTACAATAATTACAACGTTTTTACTTGTGATGCAATTTCTTATTTGTCATATTTATCAAATAAAATTAATACTAAGATTAAACAATTTTCGAATAATTATAAAATCATTTTTAATATATAACAACAGATTAAAATATTTATCAAAAAAATGTTTGTTTATTAACGATCAGTAATTTACTAATATAAAAAATATACCTCTGGTGTTCGTAATGCTTCTGTCGTCTTCAAAGTTATTATTCCTAATAATAACTGATCGACTTGGCTTCACAGCCGTTAATTCGAAAATGATAATGGCATTGGCTAAATTGCGCAGAAATAAATCTTTAGCATCATTCTTTTCATCCTCAATAAATTTATGCTCACTCAATTCGGCCAATTGATTCATTTTGTACCGTATATATTGTTCCCATGTAAGACATATTTCTTTTGAATTCGTTTGAGAATTCTTCACAACACCGCAGACGTACTTCTTGTATCCTTCATCAATCGATCCCTCTGATTTGCTGGTGAACATGTATCTGCCAACACAATTTGCTCCAGTTGATAACATATGTCCATGTAGACTCAACGCCTTGGCAGCAATGTTTCTCATTAGAAGCAACCTCTGAGTAGTAAGATCTGATTGTCCATCAGGCTGATACTTCAATATAAATGCTTTATCGGTTGACTTAGCTTTTCCAAATGTCATCCCACACTCGATAGCCATTCTTATACTGTTTGCAACAATGTCTCCTCGATTTAGGAACAAACAGATCCTTTCCTTTTGCAACGTGCATCTTTGTATCCTTATTAGCCAGCTACTGCTCTTTAATATTAGCTGTTTGAAGATCTATTAAAATTTTACAATTATAAATATGGTTGATTATTGCTTGATTATTTATAAGATATTTATTTATAAGAACATTTCATAAAAAAGATAGATTTTCAACATTTTATATGCGATAATATGTATGCGGAAAATATGTGAAAGCACTGTTAACATAAATCTGTAAAGTTGGAGCTGGTAAACTAGTTCTAACGTAAACAAACTCTGATATCGATAATATTTATTCACCTTTTCAGCCACGTCCGCGTCTGTATTGCCTTTCGTTGCGCCATGTGCGTGTGCAAAATGTTGCAGAATGCTTGTGCAACCCTTGGAGCAAGTCAAAAGATCTCTCCATGCTTTGAAATTGCACAGAAAATACAACTCTCCGTTTGCCAACAAATTCTCGCTATTCACTTTGATTACAGAAGAATTTTTATGCGTATCGCCAGTAAAATGGAAGACAATGTTGTCGATGATAGATCTCGTGCAGAAACCAGCCCAGGTTTCCATCGAGTACTTTGACGCCGATATATGACGATTGGCAGCGAGCGACACTTGCTATTGTATAAAGTTTTATATTATGCTATTCTTTGTCGCTGCATTATATTGCACTTTCTGCTCTCGAAATGAGATAATTATATAATTGAGCATTAGGAAAGAAAAAGAGGAAAGATGGAAAGTGCAGCTGTCAAGAATATATCGCTATCGTATGGTGTACGTAACGTGTGCTTTTAATTGTACTATGTTGCACTTCGTGCATTTAAAACGAAATAAATATATTCAGATATTGAAAGAGAAAAATAGGGAAAGGGGGCAACCAAAAGATATTGAAAACATTAATAAAATAAATAATATGTAAGTTTGCCTGTTTTAGCTGTATTTTCTAAGTCTGCGAGAAAGGTTATGTTTTCACATGTAGGTGTAGATTTTGAAAGCAAAGAAAAAAACAAAAAGGAAAAATCTTGTATACATCAATATTTTTTTACGTGAAAAGTCTTAAGAAAATATGTTAGAAAATTATAGTCTTTTGTTAATTCAGCAAACTTTGTATTTCGTAATAATAAAACGTCCTACGCAGCATGAAATATTTGTCATTTTTTTAAATACTTCAATAAAATATTTCAAAAAAAGAAATATATTATAAACATTTGTAAAACATTTTAAAATACCAGTATTGCATTAAGCCTAATTCTACAATGTGCTCTTTGTCTCCTGTTTCTTGCCGTTTGTCTCTTGCCTTCTTGATCAAAAAGGCAAGAGACGAACAGAGAACACATTGTAGAATTAGCCTAAAACTTTACAGAAACATTGTAGAAATATTGTACAAATATTGTAAGAAAGAGAATATTTCCAAAACTCTAATTTTTTAGACATATTTATATTTTAGAAATATTTCATGAAAAACTTTTGAAATATTTCATGCTGTGTGGAATGCCTCGTAAATAATGTGGATATAATATTTTATGACTTTGTTCATCAGGGTTTAATAAATAAAATAACTATAAAATCTGTTTCTTGATAATAATAGTTTAATTAAATGTACGTCACATACTTACGTCGCATACTTAATTATAGATTCATATCTTACAAAGTCATCACAAAAAGTATTTGCTACTTAAAGTACAAGTAGTTATACGATTTTGATATATTAATGTCTACGAATTATTCAAATATTGCCATTATATTTAACAAATATCTCGTATGCAGAAATTTGTTAAACAGAATGATGATATTTAACATATGCTATGCCTGCGAGTTCCTTGCATAATTCTTCCGTCA